ATCATCGTTAAAGCGGTCCCACACGATGTGGCGAATGCCTTACAACATTGGACAAATGGCCATTCGTCACATCGTGTTGGAGAGCGCCTACGGATTGCTTGTGTCCAACGTTCGCCACATGGCCCGTTCGGGCTCTTGTCGGTAAATTTGACCCGCGTCAAAGGACGTTACAACGTTGGAAGCATGGTTCGTTACGCTCCCACACGAGATGTCATATGTTGGTGCTGGTTTTAGGTTAGAATCAGTAGCGGCGAAAAACATTATTTACTTGTTTGCTGTGATTGTGGTGAAGTAGTAGTATGTGGGAAGTATTTTGATTTGAATACCTAACTATTCATAATAATGTATATTCCGTAACTAAGTATTGAGGAGAATGAATTAAATTAGTATACGTACAAAGCATAGGCTGGCTGTCATAACACTTTTTTCATATTGCTAATATTTTGTACGTTTCGCAGGTGAGTTACGGCTGGCCTAACGATATGTATTTTAGTAAATTATAAGTTATCAAGTGCGTACGTTTCATTATAATGTCCTTTTGCAATACAAGACTAGTTGAGAAATATCTTCATTTCATAACTAATGAAAACGATTAAATAAATGATAACTCTGAAACTACTATCAGGTTTTTGGCCCTAGGTTACTACTATGAAAATGACGAAAAAGCTCTGCAGTTTTTGAATAGCTATCGTCGAAAAACAGAAAATCGGTTGAACTTAATTTTTCGACATTTCTCAGGCTTCTGACAGACACAAGTTTTGGTCGCTGAAGACAGATCTGAAATTATTTTTCGGCGCTCGAAAAAATTATTTCATTTTGTATATTTTTTCCTTCAGTTGTAAAGGTTCAAGCGCGACACTGACACCGATAAGAGACGTTGGCGCCATCATACGTCAAACTTCCGAGACTAAAAAGTTCATCCCATCGTGTTTGCCAATCGTGGGGTGTCGAACGTTGTAAACAACGTTGGAAGCATCGTGTGGGACCCGCATTATTCGAAAGTCGTGATCACGCCACGCTTTTAAATCGCTGATTGAAAAAAGTAAGGGAATCAGATATTACAGATAAATAACGATATCAGCCAAATTTGGTACCTACCTACCGTATATTCAGATAAGAGATAGACCGGATGTAAACAAAAGGTTCGGGTGATTTTCACGCTAACGCCGCCGTCTCGACGTAAAACAGGAGCCCTCATTGGTCAATTCGCAATTAAATGCCTATGCCGAGCGGCAGAGCAGTCGTATCAAGGCAGAGTCACATTCAGGTTCAGACGTGTTACGTATGTCGTGTGCATCATTGCAATTTGATATTTCTTTGGACGTTTTCGTTTGTTATCTTATTAAGTTGTTGAGTTTGTCGTTGTTATTGTTATACCTTGTTATTGATTGTTATTGTTATCAACTGCTTGCGCAAAATGCCCAGTAGTACAGATACTGCCGATGAAGTTGTAAACTCCTGTAGTCCACCTAGGAAACGCTCTAAAAAAAAAACACCTGAGTGCAGAAATGAAAGAGGTCATTTTGAATATATATAAGATCGAGCGCGAGGAGAACGAGGCATCAACCATCAAAGAAATTGTGGTGAAGGTTTCTCACAAAGTTGGGGTGTGTCGCGCATCAGTGTTTAATGTGTTAAAATCACACCTTTTCTGAGCCAATGACCAGTAAACATCGCAAAAGTATTGTTAAATCATTAGATGAAGCTGATAAGCATGCGATTAGGAGGAAAGTGCATGAATTCTTCTTTAGGAATGAAATACCTACTATAGATAAAGTACTGCAGGAGGTAAATGGAGATACAACGTTGCCAAATTTCAAACGATCAACTTTCCATGCGTTACTGAAGCATTTAAATTTCAAATGGAAAAAACGGGGTCGTAATAGTTTACTACTGGATAGAGAAGAAATTGTGCTATGGAGGAGGGATTATTTAACAAAAATTGGGAAATATAGAAATCAAAACAGGAAGATTTATTACCTTGATGAAACGTGGGTAAACGCAGGACACACTACAAGTAAAGTATGGGTTGATGATTCTGTAACTTCATCCAGGAGGGCCTTTCTAGATGGACTGTCCACCGGATTAAAAAATCCAGCAGGTAAATACGAGTAATAGACAACAATCGGATGTTTTTCAAACCTTGGGAACAAGGTTCTAAACATTAATTCCAGGGGGCAGATAAAACATATTACAAGTAACAAAACTTTTATAACTTTCGATAAAATGCGTGGATGTTTTATTGTCATTTTCATTTGTTAGAACTTTTTTAAGGCATGTTTTTATGTGTTTTCGATATTTCAATAATTTTTTAATATAATCTTAAAATATGTCGAATATTATAAACTTAAAAAAAGTTACTAAGTTTTATATTGTGTACCGTTCCTAATATTTTTAATCATTTTAATTCATACTTTAAGCTTTATAAAGTTATAATTTGTTAATATCAATATTTGCGCGTATTTCAGGTTCCTGATCATTCATTTTTTAAAGGTTTATAACTTTAAATTAAATTGTGAAGCGCTGAGTAATCATACGACGTTCAATATTCTTTCTTTCAATATGACTAAATAATCCCAATTATAGCAATCTGATACTCATGTCTCAATGTTTTTTCGCTGAATGTGATGAAAACATTTGAAAAAGGTTCGCTTATTGAAATAAATTAGTACTTCGATTTCCAGGTAAAGGGAAAAGGCTCATTATCTGCCATATTGGCAGTGAGGATGGATTTGTTGTTGACGGTCTGTGGTGCTTTGAGTCTAAGAAAACTGGAGATTACCACGAAGAAATGAATGGCGAATCGTTTGAACAGTGGTTTTCAAAAATTTTACCGAACTTAGAGGAAAACGCAGTAATTGTGTTGGATAATGCGCCTTATCTTTCTCGAAGAATGGAGAAGGTCCCAACAACGGCTTCAAGGAAAGTTGATGTTCAAAATTGGCTCCGCTCGAAAAATATCAACCTTGAAAAAGCAACGCTGAAAGTACAATTATTAAGAATTGTCAAGGATCATAAGGCGGATTATCAAAAATACGCCATTGACGAAATGGCAGCAAGTCAAAATAAAACTGTGCTCCGTTTACCTCCATACCATTGCGAGCTCAATCCCATTGAGCTCATATGGGCAGAGGTTAAAAATTATATAGCTAAGCACAATACAACTTTTAAATTTTGTGACCTCAAAGGACTTTTCAAAGAAGCACTAGAATTAATAACAGCGCAAAAATGGGAAAACTGTATTAAGCACGTGAAAGACAAAGTTGAAAAGAGAATGTGGGAACTGGACAATATTTTAGAGGAACAAGTCGAGCCATTCATTATTGACGTTGGTGCTTCAGGCAGTAGCGATGATGAAAGCTCATCAAGCTCATCTTTCCAATAAAAGATGTCGTTCATCAAATTCGGTAAGTTATAAGTAATTATAAAGCTACTGTATTTTTTAATTAATTATTGACATTTTTGAACCCATTTTGGAAAAACCTATTCAAGAATCTACTTTCTGACAATGTTCAACCATGCACATTTTTTTACGTTTTCAACGTTTTAATTTGGTTACATATTTACCTAGAAATCAAAAAATATACTAATCAATATTCTAAAAGCAATTTTAAGAGATATACGATTATTTTTAATTTAGGCTAATTTAAACGCCATTTTGAGATTATATTCGACCGTATTTCACCAAACATCAGGCGGCATCCGAAGCTGGAAATCGAAGCGAAAATTTTGAAACCCTTATGTATATATACATCATTATATATTTCTTACCCCACCCCCACATGATCCTATATCCATCACCAATCGTATACACATCGAATAGTGCTAATTTACTACAAAGTTACGCATAGCAGCATCTACTATCTAAAATATGTACTGCGTGACTCTTAATACGTCCCTGCCGAATGTTACAGCGTTCGATGATCACGTGGTCTTGTTTATGTCCGGTCTATCTCTTATCTGAATATACTGTTGGCCTTAGGCATTTATGGTGGTTCAGGTATAAAAGAAGCAGAAAAGTAAATACATTTTTCGGATAAACCAGCATGAAACACTGATGTCATTAAAGTCTACTCTAAGCTTATACTATCAAAAGCTCAAAATGTTCCTGAAAACCTTCAAATACACGGATATCTTACGACCAGAAAGGAAGCTGGCTACCTACCTGCTAAGTCTCTCTAGGAGTTGGTGATTGCAAGTTTCTTTCATAGCATCTTAATCAAGAAAGAGCTTGTGTATAGCATTTCCAATCCTAATTATAACTCGCAATGCCATGGTCGTAAAAAACTATGGAATCTTGTATATACGAGCATAAAAAGTTGGTGTCAGAGTACAAAAAACCGCTATGGCGCTCCGCGTAGATTTTATATCAAAATTCTATAGTTGACCAACTATATCGTGACCCTGATTTCAATAATCACTTGAAAAAATGGAAATTATTGTCAGAAGCCGAGTACTGTTTTCGTAATGGTTCATTACCTCGAATATTGCAAGTTTTGACATCGGGTCTGTTATTAAAACCATCCTTGAAAAATGGATTTTTTGACTCAGAGGTAGGGAATAGTTCCCGGGAAATCTCGAGCCCGATTAGACTGGAATTTGAATCGCACTTTTGGCCTATGAAACGAAACTTCTGAACAAAAATATGAATGCGACATGTTTAAAACTCTTATTCTCTACTTACTAGTTTGTTGAAAACTGATGATCCATGACTGAAATTATTGTTTCTTATAATAAATGATAAATATGAAGCGAAAGGCAATACGGCTTCCCGGTTCCTTTGTCAGCTAGTCCCGAAATTCCTGGTTATCGACGACAATACATATTTGAATCAAAGATATACTGGACTATCCTTGGACCCCTGTGACGCTTCCGGCAAATTCCACTTGATGTGTATTTTTTGTTTTAACGCAGACTTGCGGTTCCAATTAAGAATAGCAATACCGTACGCTGCTGATCAAATCAAAAAGCCATGCATAATTCAAAAATCAATGACTCACCTAACATACTCCAAGGATAAACTAATGCAATCTTGAGGGTTGAAGATGGTTCTTTCCGTATCCTCGCCCCGTTCCTCCGGAGATACTCGAGCCGCGATTTCCGGATACTGCTGATAGTGCAGTTTCCGGCGAGTCATCTCGCAGAGGAACAGTTCGGGCACCAGCTTGTACACGACATCTTGCAGCGTTTTGTCCAGCCTGGAACGAAAAAACCCTCCTATTAAAAAAGCCTTTGATTGAGGCCTAAAATGAGTATTTACGTTATTCAAATAAAATAAATGAAAATTAAAATCCTTTAAATAACAACGGTGGACTCTTAAAGTGTTTGATGAGTCAAAGCTCGATTTTTGTTGTACATATTAAGGATCTATGACCTTAGTAGCAGAAAAACCGACTAATATTCAAAGTCAATCCTTCTTGATATCAGACTTATACAAGATATTTAAATCCATCATTACGTAATCTGCGATCAGCTAGCTTTGATTATATCCGGACTATGTTGAGCAGTCATCAATAACTACAACAAAATCAAAGTGTATTTCATATTTCAAAAAGTAATTGAAGTTAGTACTAATAAGGTTAAAATAAGTCACAAGGAAAAAAGCAGAAATGATTGGATGACCAAAGGACTAATAAAATCTGCAAATGAAAAAGAAAGACTGTATAAAATCATGAAATACTTACCCACGAAAGAAAATATAGATCATTATTATCAGTATAAAAACAAATTTATAGAACTTTTGAGAAAAGCAAAAAAAAATTACTATATAAAACAATTGAATAATAATTCACATGACTCTAGACACCTATGGTCCACTGTCAATGATATATTCAATAAGTCATCCTATTCAAAAAACAATATTAATGAAATAAAAACAAAAACAGGACAGAAAACAGACAATATTCAGCAAATATGTGATGAGTTCATAGAATTTTTCACGAATATAGGAGGAAACTTAGCAAATAATATCAAACAAAATGCTGATATTCATCTGCATGAAACAAGACTGAATAATTCATTTGTATTAACTGAAGTAGACTATCAGGATGTTTTCAATGCCATTATGACTCTAAAAAATAAAAAAAGCCCTGGAGTTGACGAAATTAGAGCTGAACATCTAAAGATACTGGCCAAACAAATAACAGAACCACTTGCTTATATCATTAACAAATCCTTCCAATCTGGAGTATTTCCATCAGCTTTCAAGACAGCAATCATCATACCTATCTATAAATCTAATGATAATACGGACGTCACTAACTATCGACCTATTTCACTTATATCAAGTTTAGCTAAAGTTTTTGAGAAATTACTCCTTAATAAAATGATTAATTTTCTTAATAAATTCAAAATTCTAAATTCAAATCAATATGGTTTTATAGCGGGCAAATCTACAACAGATGGGGTATTAAGTATAGTAGATGAAATAACCCAAAATATAGATGGAAAAGTACCATCGATATGCGTATTTGTGGACTTACAAAAAGCGTTTGACACAGTTAACCACAATATACTTTTGGAAATCTTAGAAAGAATAGGTTTTCGTGGAAAGATGTATACTTTAATGGAAAATTATTTATCAAATAGACCGCAATCAGTAAAATTATTAAGCTCGTATAGTAAAGAAATGTTTGTTAAATGTGGTGTTCCACAAGGTACAATTTTGGGTCCTCTGTTATTCAATATTTATTTAAACGATATATTCAAAATTAACAGTACTGGTAAAATAGTCAGTTTTGCAGACGATATTGCTATATTCTATAAAGGTAAGGATTGGAACGACTTAAAAGATATTATCCAAAATGACTTTTGCAAAATTATTCAGTGGTTTAATAACCGAAAATTAACAATTAACTTTACTAAAACTCATTTTTTACCATTTTCATCACTATCTAATCATCTACCAAAATATAACCACCTTCGGTTTAAGGTAAATGATAAAAATATAAAAATCAATAGAGTTAATGATACAAAATATTTAGGAATTTATCTAGATCCCCACTTGAGATGGGATGTACATATTTCTCACATACTAAAGAAAATTAGATTCATAGCATATAAAATAAAATTTCTAACCGGTATATTAACTGAATATTATCTACGAATAATATATCAAGCTTTAGTCGAGCCACACATAACATATGGTATAGTAGTGTGGGGTGCTGCATGCACGACATACTTTAACGATTTAGATGTACTTCAAAGAAGAATTTTAAAATCAATGTTAGGCAAATCAAAATTATACCCAACTAATGACTTATATAATGATGCACAAGTATATGATACTAAACAACTTTACTTCTTACATACCATCACTCATTATCACAAAACTATTAGTGAACACGACATAATTAAACATAATCAGATATAAATTACGCGCAAAAAATGTTCCTAAACCAAACAAATCCCTAATGAAACGATGTCACCTGTATATAGCTCCAAAATTGTACGAACATTTACCAAATAATTTAAAACAATTACGCTTCAAAAAAAAATTAAAAAAATTTATTAACACAATTGGGAGAAATCAAATTAATAAAATAATCTCAAATATTACACAATAAATGCTCTACCATTCTTACCAATAATTTCTTTTTTCTCTCTATTTTATTAAATTTTGCAATTCAACATACATATGATCCATGCACAGGCGTTGTCCTCCTATGGATATATTATATTTATTTACTCGTTTCATGTTCCCTGTATTTTAGAGTAAATAAATATTATTATTATTATTATTATTATTATTATTATTTCTTATCTAAACGGATATATTTTATAACATTAACTAGATTTTGGGTTCTGTTTCAGACTCACTCCTATAGCGGTAAATCTCATCCACTCCAGGGATTTCCAGCATTCGACCGAAAAGATCCACGATGCCGGCCGGCAATATTGACTGCGTTACAGTGTTGCCGACATCATATTCATCAGCCAATTACAATGCCGTTAAAGGTATTACGAATATGTGAGATGGGTTGAAAACAAGTGAACAGTCAAAAACAGAACGTTACTTTTCATCAACAATAAAACGATCGCCATATACACTGACAGTCAGGCGTCACTCATACGGTCAAGAAGTCCTAGAGTGGCATCTGCACTGATCTGGGAATGCCAACTAGAACTGAACACAATGGCGAAACAAAACAAAGTAACTGTGATATGGGTACCAGGACACTCAGTTAACGCAGGAAATGAAAGGATGAGCTAGCAAGGAAATGATTGCGTCCACACCATATAGGTGCAGACCCAGAAGCTGCCTTGGGGGTGCTAAAAAGTACAATAAGGAACCAAGTCAAAGAATCGGTAAGAAACCATCACAACCAACATTGATACTTAGTGACTAGATGCAGGCATGAGAAAAAATTCATCTCGGGACCATGTCCGATCAAGATCTTTTCCTTTGAAACGGCATAGTCAAAGAATAGCAAAAAGAGAACATATCGTTAATGTAATGCCTGAATCTTATGCTGTAGATTTTATGTTGATAATTCTCAATGTTTTTTTCATTGTTTACGGGCGTTTCGATGTTCTTTTTCAAATTCAGCACAGTCTGAAGTAGGCATTGCCTCTACCAAAAACCTTCAACCACCCCAAAGTCACGAGCGAGCATGAGCTTATCTGTTCTTGTGGATGTACACCATACACGTCATCCTAGCTCATCGCCTTGAAAACGCCAAACAATTGCGAGAACGCGTCAACCAACTCAGGAAAACCCTTTAAGTTCAATCCGCTTGACGGTGTTCTTTTCAATGTTGCCAACATACTCTCTGTTGAGAGAGATGGCCGCCTGAGGGTTACAATATGACAATTTTATTGTTCTGATGACCCTTTTTATATTTACATAAATTTATCGTAATTACTTGGATTTGGGGGTCTAAAGAAATACAGTTTCCGAAGTTTTTGGAACAATGTATCTACTTCTTCAGGGCCCTTCAATTTTTTTTAAAACACTTAACTTTTCATATACAGCAGACGCTCGATCATGTAAACTAATTTAATCCAAGTGTGGTTCACATTATCGAAATGTTTACATTAGCGAACGTGATTTATATAATATTTGATTTACTAAAAGAAACGTTTAATACATACTATTTATAACAAAATAAACAAATATTCTAACAGCGATAAGTATTTTTTTTAATTAGAAGAAAAATAATTAACAATTTTTGTCTGCGTAAATTTGCGCTTAGCATTGTCTTCCAATGCCTGCGCCCGTAATTTACGAAGAAGTAAAATATCCGTGTATGAAACTTCTTTTCTTTCAGCCCAATCTAAAGCTTGATTAAAAACTTGTATAGCTTGCGCGTCAGTCACTACACTTCTGACTTCAATGGGATCGTTCTCATCATCCTCACTGTCCATATCCTCCTCCTTATCAGCATCATTCGTCTGCTTATCTTCGTTCCATAAATTAATATCAGCAGGAGTACAAACAATGTTGGGATTCACTGTTTTCAATAAATCAACAACATCCAATGACACACTAATAACATTATCATTATTGGATCGCAAACGTTCTCTAATTACGCTTAAGGGGACATAGTCTTCTACATCATCTTCATTATTGGTACAAAACAGATTGTTCCAACATTTTTGAATAGTTTGCTGGTTAAGTTCATTCCAGGCCATATGTAAATCTAAAACAGCTTCTCGTAATGTTACTTTTTTAAAGCCTCAGATAAGGTTTCAGGATTCTTTGATAAGACAGACGAAAGTAGAAACTTCCTATAGTATAGTTTGGTGAGTCTTATTATATTCTGGTCCATCGGTTGAATTAACGGCGTTACGTTGGGCGGCATGTAGATGACGAAAATTGAACCATCCCTGCTCCTAAGTTGTTGCTCGGGAGGATGACTTGGTGCATTATCCAATAGTAACAACGCTTTTATTGGAAGCTTCTGTTGTTTTGGGAAACCTTTTACCTACAAATTGAAAACACATCTTCACATTATGAATAGAGCATTTGTGATAATTGATTGTCATACCTGAGGGACAAAGCACCTGTGGAACCATTTCAGGAATATACTGCTAGTCATCCAAGCGGTTTTTAAACAGTCATAATCAACAGGGATATTAACATTTTTAAATTTTGTGTGAATCATTAGCATTAGTGCAGGCTAGAAACGTTATTCGTTGCTTCTCCGGCTTTCTTCCCGGGGCAGATTTTTCAAATGATGCAGCATAGGTTTTCTCT